CAATTTGAAAAGGGAGTTCTGCTGTTTGAAAATGTTGAACAACATGCAAATAGCGATCATAACAACGGCTTTGACAACCCGGGATTAGCAACTGCTTATTTCTGTTGCGATATTTTTTATTTCTGTTGCGATATTTTTTATTTCTGTTTGGAAACTTATTGCTCAAAACGAACCATCAAATTCATTAAAAAATTAAAATGAATTTCAATTGCCTGTTGAAAATAAGAGAGGGACTCACAACGTTGCTACATGGTTGTAAGGCAAAAAATTTTCTACCGTACCGGGTTCGAACCGGTGACCTAAGGAATACTGATTTGGTAATAACGACAGTCCTTAGCTCTACCAACTGAGCTAACGGTAAGTTTTAAAAACTAACTTCTATTTCATACTTTTATACATGCAAACTATGAGAAACCTCTTGTCGTTTTATTACCAATTTGTCAGAAACTAGTTGTGATGCTAATTGATCGCGTTTGGCCCAGGCCTTCCCGCGTTAATTGGTCGCGCTACCTGTCACAGTTGGCCCAGGCCTGCCCGCGTTAATTGGTCGCGCTACCTGACCCAGGGTTAGGGTCAGCAAAGTTACGTCACATATTCTGCATACTAATTACTTTCGGAGCAGCGTGACGTCACTGGCGGCATCCCTTTGGTCTCCAGATGGGGGTCTATTACTACTTGGGTTTGGCGAGAGAATATGATGTTGACATTGAGAAGTATTCAATTTTGTCATGTCGGCGGCTCGTCCAATTTTGGCAAAATTTCCAAACATCACTCGTACTATTAATCCCTAACTGTAGTCGCCATCGCATGATTACCTATACTTATTCGTATATCTTGAAACCACCATTCATTATAATGTACATGCTAAGACAATTTCCAATACAGAAACAAGGCTGCTTCAAGTTTACTTTTGGAAATCATCATACATTATACATTATAAAGATCTACACTGCACGAGTCTAGGCGGACATTTACTACCTCCGCCTGGAGGTTATGTTTTTATCCGCATTTGTATGTGTCTGTGTGAACAAGGAGGAATTTCGTTCTCGACCAATCAATGCATTTGTTGACATTTTCGCTCTAAGCCAATCAGAATGCGTATTTGGTTACTAAAACACACATTTGAACAGAAAATATATGGTCTTACATAAAGCATCGAGCTTATTTTAATTTTTTATTGGATTTAACGTGACAAAGTAAAATAAGAAATTTTCGAAAAAATTGCCGCTGGGATTTGCGTTTTATTGCCTAGTTTTAACGTTATCGGCATTCGAGCAGCGGCGTATAAAAAGCGCGTAAGTTGGAATACCGATAATTTTAGAACAAAGCAATAAAACGCAAATCCCAGCGGCAAATTTTTACAAAATGTCTTACTTTACCTTCTCACGTTGAATCCAATCAAAAAATTAAAAATCCTGACCAACTCGAAGCTTTATTTAAGAACTATATTTTCTGTTCAAATGTACAGTATGTTTTACCGTAAGTGGGCTTTCTGTACTCGTAGGGAAACTACCTAGAATAACCAATTACTCATTCTGATTGGCTTAGAGCGAAATTGTAAACAAATGCGCTGATTGGTCGAGAACGAAATTCCCCTTGTTGTCTTTGTGTGTTCGTCAGTCGACAAGAAGACTAAAAAATATTACATGTATTCCTACGAAAATGTGTGAAACTAATGGACATTATCCAAAGGCATAATGATTAAATTTTGATTAAAATTGCACGAAAAGTCGATGAGAGATTAGGAAAAGTTTGTATCGCTCTGCCGCGAACAGGAAACAGAATGCATAATTAGCCCATTGTATAATTTATGCATGATATAATACTTTAGTTTGTGGGAACACCACGTAAATTTAATACTGCAAAGCTTTCAATCCGTAAGCCCGGATCTTCCTCAGTGCTAACAATATGTGTTTCCACAAACTAAAGTATTATATGTTTTATCGCCAAGCAAACCTACAAAGAACTTATTATGCATGATACTTAACTTAATTCTCTGGCGGAGGTGTATAGTCTCCATGTGCATTCTAAAGCCACCGTATTTCCAATCCGGGAACAAGGTGTGCCGCTGCTTTGAGTTTACTTTTGGGTGTTTCATTTTCCTCACTTTCTTCATCACCTGATGTTTCAGATTCCTCACTTTCTATCTTTGATAACACAATCAATCTTAAGTTACGCAAGGTTGGGAATACATCAGTTAGAGCTGCTGCACCTGCTAGGGTGATCTTAGTACAGAATAAATCAAAATTTTTTAAATATTTCAATTTTCCTACAGAATGAAACAGGTGTTCTTGGCATTCATCATCAAACTCAATCATGTTCATCACTAGCTCTTCCAACAACTGCAGTGATGGTAACACCTCAGCTAAAGTTACAGCGCCAGTTTGGGTAATCTTAGACCACCCTAAACCAAGTTTCTTCAAAAATTTCAATTTTCCTACAGCATGAAACAGGTGCTTTTGGCACTCATTATCAAACTCAAATTTTCCCAACACTAACACTTCCAAAAACTGCAGTGATGGCAACACATCAGCTACAGTTATAGCGCCAGTTTGGGTAATCTTAGAACCATCGAAATAAAATTCCTTTAAATATTTCAATTTTCCTACAGCATGAAACAGGTGCTTTTGGCGTTCATCATTAAACCCAATATTTCCAAACATTAGCTTTTCCATCTGCAGTGATGGTAGCACCTCAGCAAAAGTTACAGGGCCAGTTTGGGTAATCATCCCAGACCACTCTAAACGAAGTTCATTTAAATATTTCAATTTTCCTACAGCATAACACAGGTATTTTTGGCATTCATTATCAAACTCAATCTCTTTCAACACTAGCTTTTCCAACAACTGCAGTGATGGTAACACGTCAGCTAAAGTTACAGCGGCAGTTTGAGTAATCTTAGACCACCCTAAATCAAGTTCTTTTAAATATTTCAATTTTCCTACAGCATAACACAGGGGTTGCGGCATTCATTGTCAAACCCAATCATATTCAACACTAGCTTTTCCAACAACTGCAGTGATGGTAACACGTCAGCTAAAGTTAGAGCGCCAGTTTGGGTAAACTTAGAGAAATCTAAATCAAGTTTTTTTTAAATATTTCAACTTTCCTACAGCATGAAACAGGTGTTTTTGGCATTCATCATCAAACCCAATCTTTTTCAATACCAGCTTTTCCAACAACTCCAACGATGGTAACACCTCAGCTAAACTTACAGCGCCAGTTTGGGTAATCGTAGACCACCCTAAATCAAGTTCCTTTAAATATTTCAATTTCCCTGCAGCATGAAACAGGTGTTTTTGGCATTCATCATCAAACTCAATCCCTTTCAACACTAGCTTTTCCAACAACTGCAGTGATGGTAACACCTCAGCTAAAGTTACAGTAGCCTGCATGGCAGGCGGTCTAAAATACCGCCTGCTGGGTTTGGCAGTGTAATTTGATAACCGCCCACTTTTTTGTCCGGGTCCAATTAGCCAATCAGCAAACAGTAAATATATTAATAATCAAACTGTCAAACTATGTTATTGTTTGGTCGCAAAATTGCAAATGTTTACTGTAAAAATATGTCGAAAGAAACGCCATTGAAAGTTTCAATCAGGACCGAATAAGATGAATAACGACAAGAGGTAGAAAAGCAAGCGCGGAAAATGTAAATGACTTGTCGTTTGTTTAAGTGTGCTTTGAAACTAAAATACGGGGCAATACGCCAATAGAGAAAATATCATATATTCTTATATATCGTTGGAGAAATTATTTATTTAAGTCAAGCAAAAGAAACGTTACGACAGTGGTAAAACCTTGGCCGAAATAAGCCGAATTGCCGGTTCAGTTCATTTAGGAATCGAAGTTAATTCTACCTCGGAACTATCCGACCAAGTTTGTAAACCGTGTAAATATCCGAAATGCAAGCGAACTGATTGCCATAATCAAACGAGACATAAACGCGTTGCCTGTGTACGTTCGAACAAATAGACAGTTGTATATTAAAAACCTCAGTTGCCAATATGAACTGTCTCGTCTCCCTAACGAAGCCGTGTGGTAACGAAAGTGAAGCGGCTATTAATAGGCATAGGCGTAATAGACTAATAGTCCTGTTATAAAACCCGTTGCAAGAAAGACTATACGGCCGTCTGTATCTATTCTCGTTATATTTTCTCTCGCCAACAAGAATAGTGTAAAAATCAAGCTTTTCCCATAGAATAGCCAAAACATTCTTTCCAAGGAGTAAATCTTTAACTGCTATCTCTTGCTCGCGTTTGACAATCAGTTCGCGTTTCTTTCGAGAAGCGTTCAGTTTTACAACACCTATTACTTGTAAGCGAACGCATGCATCATTAAAGTGTCAAACGTATGTTTACATATTAAAGTGCATTCACTTTTGAGTGACAGCGGCTCAGACTCGTAGCCAATCATCAATTCCCGTCCACTGGTGGACGGGGAATTCGATTACACTGCCAAACCCAGCAGGCGGTATTTCCCAGGCTTGCCCAATTTTAGGAACCGCCTGCCATGCAGGCTAAAGTTACAGCGGCAGTTTGAGTAATCGTAGAACTCCCTAAATCAAGTTCCTTTAAATATTTCAATTTTCCTACAGCATGAAACAGGTGTTTTTGGCATTCATCATCAAACCCAATATTATTCAACAATAGCTTTTCCAACAACTGCAGTGATGGTAACACCTCAGCTAAAGTTACAGCGCCAGTTTGGGTAAACTTAGACCACCCGAAATCGTGTTCCTTTAAATATTCCAATTTTCCTACAGCATGAAACAGATACTTTTGGCATTCATGATCGAACCCAATATTTCCCAACACTAGCTTTTCCAACAACTGCAGTGATGGTAACACCTCAGCTAAAGTTACAGCACCAACTTGGGTAATCGTAGACCGCCCAAAATCAAGGTATTTCAAATATCTTAATGATGTTAAAGCATCAAAAAATCCTGCGACACTATGATCATGCATTAAAACATCCGGAAACACTATTTCCTCCAAAAATGAAAGAGACGACAGGCTTTTGATGAAGGCTTTCCCGTTATTTACTTTCATACCCCCAAGATCAAGCTTTTTCAAATTTTTCAACAATTTTATCGCACTAAAGATTTTTTCACATTTCCTGTCCGCAACATCAACATTAGTTAAAACTAGTTCTTGCAACAGTCGAAATAACGACAATTAGCGGCTAACCTATCAGCATCACATGGTCTTAATTTGATTTCACAAAGATAAAGTTTTCTTAGCTGGTGTTGCAACGGTATCATATTGACAAAGAGGTTTCCACCATGAATAATATCACTCAAAATGACCTCCTGCAAATTAGGAGGTAAAGACAAAGCATCATCTAAGATCTCAATATCAATCCGATTGCCTGACAAATTCAGATGTCTCAATTTGTTTAATGGAACTAAAAAACGCTTAAAGATTTCGTTGTAATCATCACCATTTAAAGTAGTTCATAGAAGGCAGGAATTGTTGCAAAATAACTGTAATTCCGTCAAGATTATTGTTGCTTAAATTCAACTTTTTCAACCGAGTTAAATTTGATAAGTGCGATTGAAAATTTCGAACATCTTCCAACATAAGATTATTGGAAGATAAATTCAGTTCTTCAAGTTCTGTTACTGAAGACAGCAAGTTAGCAAGCCCATCAACGGCAGGACCACAGACATCAGTATTTGCTAAGCTTAAAGCTTTCAAATGCTTAACTCTTAACGAACACAATGACCAGATAGAATTGCCAACATGATTAAAATCTAAGTGAAGTTCCTGCAAGACTGATCTGATTAAAGAGGGAAAACGACAAATGTTGTGCTATACTTTATGTTAGATATATATATTGAAACACTGAACTGCACATATAACTGGACAGTAGATTATCACGTGACTTTTGATGTTGTTCAAGATGGCGTGGGATTGTAATAAGTAAACAGTTTATATTCGCTTTATATTTGGAATACTGACTAAAGTTTGTACATATTTATA